AAAGTTCAAACTATTTATAAAAGTTTCAGACCCAGATAATCGATTATTTTAAAGAATAATCGATTATTTTGTTCTTCAGGTTTTCTGGAAACCAACCAAGAACAATATAATCGATTATTTTGCTGGATAATCGATTATTCCAGAGAGTTATTTATGGGATAATCGATTATTTGGCAAATAATCGATTATTGCAGCAAGGCATCCCATTTTGCCTATTGCTGGAATAATCGATTATATTTAACGATAATCGATTATTTTGAGTTAGTTCTCAAAACTTCGTTTTATGTCTCAAAATAACTTTCTAATCTTCTTAACTCATCATCATACACTCTCTACTTAGTTTAGATAAAGATTTTGCTTATGCACAAAGCACACACAACATATAAACTCATCCAAAACAATTTATATACTAATCCCTATTACATAGCATTTTCTTTGACATTATCTTTGACTTTGTTTTTATGCTTCTAAGTTGTTGTTGTTTGTTGTTGCCCTTGACACACATTTTGTGATCATCAAAACTCCTTTAAGCTTCAAGCTCCTCCAAGCTCAACAATCTCCCCCTTTTTGATGATGACAACCAATCTAGGCTCCAACCATTTTTGCTTCTAATTTCAACAAACCAAACCTGCAAAAACATACACACACAAGCATAATACCTGCAAAAACAACAACCATACAATACACACAACAACCTTTCTCCCCCTTTGGCATTATCAAAAACAAACCAAGCTATGTTTTACAATATAAGCCATATTCACATTCCTCAAGTGCTTAGAATCATACCAAACCAAGTATAACATAGGCATTAGATTCAATCTCAATGAACAACACCATCTCAACCAGAATTATTTAATCAATCAAGATACAAATGACAACTCAGAATTCTTCAACCCAAAACAGAGTATTATGTTCAACAATCAACCATGACTCAATTTTCTCACAAGATAATATTTTTTAATAAAAAAACATAACATCAACAAATATGCTCAAAAATAGAGCATCAATGCACCAACCATCCAAATCACAATTTGAAATCACAATCAAACCATCATATCAAAATAAACTTCAAATTCACCAGAATTTAATTGTTCAACAATTTAAAGCAAGTAAATTGTTCCAGAATTAAACTATTACAACCAAATTGAACATAAAATCCAAAAATAGAATTTTTAAAAACCTAATTAAACTAATCAACAAAACAGAACAGGAATCAATCTTCATCTTCAGGTATGCCAAGGTGAGTCTTGACTAGCTTCACTTCATGATCAAGATCATCAAACCTGTCAAGAATACCAGAAAACAAAGAATCATGTCTTCGAGACATTTCCATCACCGCATCAAGTTTATTTAGCATGATTTTCTCAAAAGGTGAAAATGGTTTCAGCTCCGCTTCTTGCTCCCTGCCAGGTTCAGCTGTTGAGCTTAGAGGGGGTTGAAGCTTAAATAAGTTTTGATGATCACAAAATGTGTGTCAAGGGCAACAA